GCTGAAAGTATATTTAAACGGATCTTCTACGAGTCTCAAATGGATCTTCCCATTAGCTCAATTTGAATAACCAAATTAGGCACTTGGCCAAAAGCCGTTTGGAATCATTGCAATTGTTGCGCAATATAAATTGACATGTGACCTAATTAGGTAATATGCCGTCAACAGCTTGAAGATTAGCCGACTTGCTATGCCCATGATCCCATATCATAACTTTATCTACATAAGCTCACCCCATAGACAACCCAGTTGCTGTTGCTGTTGCTGCTTCTGTTGGCTATCTAAATACTTCATTTGGGCACGTTAACTGGCCGGCTGTCTGTGTAGACTCTGATCTAGTGTCGTGTCTGGCCTGGCCTGTTCTGTTCTCGTTTGGTATGCCGTGCTGCTGGTGCTAGTTAGGGTCTATGACTGTGTCACGATCAGTTTGCGGTATGAGTGCGCCTATACGTAATTGTTATAAACCACAAAAGAGCAATAACAACAAGGCGTCGCCATAGTTGAACGTGTTTTCTCTGCTCATCGAAGGTTGGGCAGTCGCTGTCTACTCGCCGCAATACAATTAATCCGCTTTACTTACACACGCACGCACACACACACACACACACACACGCACATACATACATGTATAAATATATATATATACTTGAATATACCTTTTACCCTTTCACAGTGCCGTGCCATTGTTGAGGGCGCCAATGTGACAATCCGCACAACGTCGCAACGATCAACGCTTTATATAACGGACATCTCCGCCGATGACAGCGGCAAGTACACGGCCGAAATAATGAACGAATATGGCATAGAGGCGGCATCGGCCTCAGTGGCCGTCGAGGGACCCCCGGAGCCGCCCAGCGGAAAGCCGAGCGTGTCCCTTGGACCCGATCGTGTGGCCGTCGCCTGGTGTGGACCGCCCTACGATGGTGGTTGCATGATAACTGGATTTATGTGAGTGCAGAAGAGGAAGATCATATTTATTCATATTATCGATAATAATTTATCATTTAATTTGAGTTGATATACATAATAAGATGAAGATTTCCAGAGATGGAGAATTCCTGTTTCCTCACCCAACAATTGAAGGGTAGAGTAGAAAACGGTATCTCTCTGTTTCCTATTCGAATACTCCTGACTAGAGTAGTCTTTTTTGTAATAATAATAAAAATTATACTTTTACTTCTTTTATTATACCCCTCCCAGCATCGAGATGCAGAGCTGCAATCCCACGGACTGTGATAGCGTCAAGGACAACGCTGACTGGCAGCAGGTGGCGCGTGTTGTGGATACGCTGGCCTATACCGTCAAGGAGCTGCTGCCCCAGCTGCAGTACAGATTTCGTGTGCGCGCCGAGAACATACACGGACGCAGTGCACCCAGTCAGGTCAGTGAGTGGGTGCAGACAACACGACCAGCCAGCACAGTGGATGCTGGCAACACAACAAATCCCACGAGCGCGGTGAGCGTCCAGTCGGGCGGCGATTTCAAGGCACGTTTCGAAATCATTGAGGAGCTTGGCAAGGGACGATTCGGTGTCGTCTACAAGGTGCAGGAACGCGCACACCCCGAACAGCTGCTGGCCGCCAAGGTGATCAAGTGCATCAAGTCGCGCGATCGCCAGAAAGTGCTGGAAGAGATATCCATCATGCGTTCGCTGCAGCATCCCAAGCTGTTGCAGCTGGCCGCCTCCTTTGAGAGTCCACGCGAAATCGTCATGGTCATGGAATAGTGAGTGATGGGAATTACTTCTAAATGAGTTTTTGATTTAAGAGATTTTATTCATACAGCATTACGGGTGGAGAGCTGTTCGAGCGCGTGGTTGCAGATGACTTTACGCTGACCGAGCTGGACTGCATTCTATTCCTGCGACAGGTGTGTGAAGGCGTTGCCTACATGCACAGCCAGAGCGTCGTCCACTTGGATCTGAAGCCGGAGAATATCATGTGCCACACGCGCACCAGCCACCAGATCAAGATCATTGACTTTGGTCTGGCCCAGCGCCTGGACTCAAAGGCGCCAGTGCGCGTGCTCTTTGGCACGCCGGAATTTATACCGCCAGAGATCATAAGCTACGAGCCCATTGACTTCAAGTCGGACATGTGGAGCGTGGGCGTCATATGCTATGTGCTGTGAGTGCCGAAAGCAAATGAATTCCCTTTTAGTTAAGCTCACGCTCAAATCCTTCTGTTGCAGACTCTCGGGCCTATCGCCCTTCATGGGTGACTCCGATGTGGAGACTTTTTCGAATATAACACGTGCGGACTACGACTACGATGACGAGGCCTTCGATTGCGTGTATGTAGCTCCACTCCATGCTTAACTATGTGAATCTCTGAACGCAAACTCTGCTTACAGCTCGCAAGAGGCCAAGGACTTTATCTCACAGCTGCTAGTGCATCGCAAGGAGTCGCGCCTGACTGCTCAGCAGTGTCTCGAATCCAAGTGGCTCTGCCAGCGTCACGATGAGAATCTCAGCAACAACAAAATCTGCACAGACAAGCTTAAGAAATTCATTATACGACGCAAATGGCAGGTGAGTAAAAGCCTCTGCTTGCCTGCTCAATGCCCTTCCGAACTAACAACTGCTTCACTTTTGTTGTTTTGCCATTTGAATCCTGTCCTGCTTCAATGCTTTGCTGCTGCTTGCTGCACAACTAGAAAACGGGCAATGCTATACGGGCGCTGGGTCGCATGGCTACGCTGTCCGCCTCGCGTCGCAATTCGGCCATTGCCATGGGCGCTCTCAGTAGTCCACGTCCCTCGATTTCCGGCTTGAGCATGCTGAGCGCCGTCAACGTGTGCAGCACGCAAATGGCCTCCTTGAACGAGGAGGAGGATGACTTTACGGGCGAGATGCCGCATGTGGACAAGCGCAAGACGACGAGCCTCAAACTGCGCGACAAATCGCAGTGCAGCGAGCGCAGTGATTCCGGCTACAGCGAGTGCTCCAATGGCAGCCTGGGCACACAGGAGACGCTGCTGCTAACGCTGGCCAAGTGCAAGCTGGAGCAGATTGCCAAGGCCAGCCAGAGCGAGACGGCAGACAATGCGGCCAGTGCATTGCCATCACTGGACCTGTCCGTCAAGAGTGAGCCCATAATGCTCTCCGATTTCACCAATACGGTCAAGATGCGCAAGAAGTCGCTGGAGGATAGTTGCACACGTGAAAAGCTCAAGCCGCATATCAAACCCATTTGCGAGCCCAAGCTGAAGGTGTCCCAGCTGAAGCACAAGTTTCAGCAATCAAATGCCGCTGCTGCTGCTGCTGCACATAAGAAACCTGCCATCGAGCCCAACAAAATCGCCAAGGTCGCGAGCATGGGTCGCATCAGCAAACGTAACACATATTGCTTATAGCATGCATACGACTTACATAATACCCTATACTCACGCTCTCACTCTCTCTTTCTCTCTCTCTCTCTCTCTCTCTCTCTCTCTCTGTCCCTTTGTTTATAGTTGAGCCAGCGAGCAGGCCCGCTGTCGCCATTAAAGCGAAGCCAACACAAACCCAGTCCATGCCCAGCTCCCCGCTGCCACAGCGTTCAGCAACGCCAACGCGGCTGAGCAGTCGAGTACGTGAGACGACGGAGCGTCTTGCCCAACAGCACACGGTGGCCAGCGCACAGCGACAGGCGACGAATGGCAAGGGGCATGGCAATGGAAATGGAGCTGGAGGTGGAAATGGTAATGGAAATGGAAATGGGAACGGTCATGGTCTCGGGCATGGACACGAGCACGGACAGGGGCATGAATCACGTGCGCGACGTCTCATCAATAGATTCAACGAAACGAAACATATCACGTCCTAGCTTTTTAATGACTCTGATTTACTTATTTCACTTTATTATTATTGTTTTGTTTTTTTTTTTTTTTTTATCTATTGTGTAAAAACAAACCCAAGGAAAATCTGTACGAAAAAACACTCGAATATACATATGTATATTTATATAACTATATATATACATATATATATAGTTGCAATTGCGAACTAATTATAATCCAAATCCGAATCCAAAATGGCACCCAAAACATTTTTAGGCACAGGCACAGGCACACCGCACTGCACTTAGGCTAGACAAAGGCTAAATATTTAAATTATTGTATCGATTTATATACATACATCTATTTACCATACTAATTAAAGTTAATGTAACGAAGCCAAACGCTGTCTAACTTATTGGGCAAGCATCCATATGTAGACCCAACCAATTATTTAAGGGGTTGGCTACGAACGAGAAGTTTGTGCTGCGACTAGCAAAAGTAAGTTACAACAATTAGCTCAATCTAAACTTAAAGTGAGAAGCCTTTTTGGAAGTAAAGTGTTTATCGTGCTGCGTATTGTTTCTCTCTTTAAATTTGATTAAAGGCAAACACGAGGCAAGCTTAGGAATAGTAATATTTATATGCTTGATTCTCGCTCAATGTGGATTTCTATATAGTTAGATAAGCTATAAAGCTAATAACTGAGAAAAGCATTATAGGAAACAGGCTGAGGTTGCTCTCTTTAGCTTTACTTCTCGTTTGCAAGTTCTTCGCTTCAAATTTCTCATATGTAGTCTAACTGCTATCATATCTCTAAAGAATTTAAGGTGAGCTTAGAGGAAGAAGCATGAAAAAGAAACTTTAAAAGTCTCAACAATTGTTAAAGCTATCAGCGAGAAGCTTTGCTTTGCCAGGACTTATACTTATCCCACCTCAAACTTTTCGAAAGTAGTTCAATTAGTTCCTAACATATTTAAAGCTGAGTTTGAGGAAAGAAACAAAGATCGTCTACTAAATTCAGACAAAGATTAACTGAAAGAAGCAATGCCTTGCTCGAGCTCTGCTTGAATTGCACTTGTGCCGCCTCAAACTTCTCGAATGTAGTCACTGATTGAAGCTACGCTAAAAGGATGGAGCAAAGCGAGGACCCACATCTCATGTCGCTTCTCTAGATAGATTTTTTACCAGCCCGCAACAATTGGCTTCATCTCGTTCCCTACACTAATTGGCTTCCATTGCTGGTTCACTATATCGTCTCCTGCTGCTGCTGGCGTGGCCGCAGTCGCACCCACAGACCGCCCGAGGCGCGCAGAGTGATGCGGAATGTGGCCTCGAAGGTGGTCTTGCCAGGCACGGGCAAGATCTGGTAGCTGCGCAGTAGGCGGGAGACAATTGTCTTGATTTCCATGATGGCAAACCGATTGCCAATGCAGTAGCGCGGTCCAGCACTGAACGGTATAAAGGCATATGGATGCCGCTGCTCCATGTTCTCTGTGCTAAAACGCTCCGGCTTGAACTTCTCCGGCTCGGGATAGATGTGCGCCAGACGGTGTGTGGCATATGGGCAAATGAAGATGTTGCTGCCCGCCGGCAAGGTGTAGTCGGCCAAACGCACTTCCTCGCCCAGCTTGCGGGCGATGAGTGGCACGCTGGGATAGAGACGTAGTGCCTCCTTGATGCACATCTCCAAGTAGCGCATCTCGCGCAAATCGCTCATTGTGGGCGCCCGATTGGTGTGGTCAAAAATGCGCTCCAGCTCCTCATAGCATTGCGCCTGCGAATCCGTATGCTGGGCAAGCAGAAAAATGGTGAAGGCGACAGCAGCGCCAACCGAATCCTGCCCAGCCAGCATAAAGGTGCACGCCTCATTGACAATGTCCTCTTCGCTGAAGTCCGGATTGCTCTCGGAGATTTCAATCATATAGTCCAGGAAGCATTTGCGCTCCAAATTGTTGTTGGCCGCATCGGCCATAATCTCACGACGTCTCTTAATCATCTGGCGCGTAAAATCGTTCAGACGCTTCTTCTGCTTCAGCTCATCGTTGGCCAGCGATGTCAGCTGATAGATGGCGTCCAGTAGCAACCAGGGATGCAAGAAACGTGCGCGTATCATCAGCTTGCCCTTGCGAAACGGCGAATCCTCCATGAGGCCTTTCTTCTTGATGGGCACGCCAAGCACAGCCTCTGCAAGACAGGAGAGAGAAAGAGAGAGATTAGGATCAGATCAGATTAGGATTGCCTGAAGCGGGACTTACCATTTAGCACATCGACCACACAGTTGTTGACATATTTGGCTATGTTGACCTCCATGTCCAGTGCCGAGGCATTCAGATGCTCGTTCAGCGACTGCGACGCATCCACAAATGTATCAATGAACTTCTCCAGCAGACTGAGATGAAATGCGGGCTGTATGAGCTTGCGATGGGTGCTCCACTTGTCGCCGCTGCTGGTGATCAGGCCGTTGCCCAGAAAGTTGTGCATCAGCCTGTAGATGAACACCTTGTTGGTGTGCTTCTTGGAGGAGAGTATGACCTGCAGATCCTCCGGCTGCAGCACCACAAAGAACGGAAACAGCAGCACCCAAATGCGCACCAATGAGCCATACAGATGAAAGGCGTTCGCGGCGCGTTTTCGCATAACTGCAAAGGATGACAGACATGGCGTATACATAATATAATTTTTAATACATTTGCAGCACTTACGATCCTTCTCATTGATCAGCATACAGTTGCCCAGAAAGGGCAGCGTAGGTGGCCCAGAGAGACGCAGGGACAGCAGCACGGACCTCAGATACGTTTGCAGCTGTGTGTAGAACGTGTAAATGCTCAGCGAGAGCACCAGCAGGGCCAGAGCGCTGTACAGCTCCGATCTGGTAGCACGCTCCAGCTACATATGCAACGAGAAAGAGAGAGAGGGAGGGAGAGTGTGAGTGAGATAGAGACAGGGTAAAGCGTGTGTTTAGTTAAGCAAGTGGCTACTCTTCATAATTTGTTTACCATTTAGGCAATTTAATTAAGTGCGTAAAATATATTTGCCTAAGCCGCCCGTGCCAATTGGACCTCGAGCGCACTTCAGTTTAATTGCATTTAGATACATATCTCTCGGATATTCATGTGCACAGGTATGTATAAATATATATATATGTATAAAATCGAATTAACTGGGAACGTCATTAGAGTATGTATATTGAGGGGCTTGAGCATCGTATGAGCCAGTCGCGGCATGTCGTAAGTTTTTGTAAATACTCATCATCCATAAGCTTCGAAATGATCATCGAAAGTGCCTGCGAATCGGTGTGAATTGTTTGAGTCAACACGTCGTATACGCATTTAATACACACATGGCCAACGCACGCACACGCATCAATCTCTGAATGTGTGCATGTAGCTGAATTTCGATTATGTATGCCCAAGTCTCGACATTTCGGCAACTATTGATTCAGCATCAGGGCAAGGACGGGCATTAGAGATGGAAATACATAAATAATCGGCATATAGATACAAATGCAAATATACAGATACAAATGCAAATATACAGATACAAATGCAAATATACAGATACAGATACTGATACTGATACTGATACTGATACTGATACTGATACTGATACTGATACTGATACTGATACTGATACAGATACAGATACAGATACAGATACAGATACAGATACAGATACAGATACAGATACAGATACAGATACAGATACAGATACAGATACAGATACAGATACAGATACAGATACAGATACAGATACACATACAGATTTTCACAGTTACAAATATGTCACACTCTATTCGGTATATTTTGGTAATGTTTGATTTAATACAGATACAGATACAGATACAGATACAGATACAGATACAGATACCTCTCCCCTCCCTTCCTCACTCTCACTCTGTCACTCTCTCTCTCTCCCTCTCCCTCTCCCGCTCCCTGTCTCTCATCCTCACACTCAGTATCTCATTTTTTCAGGGCTACATTTGACAGGACGGCACCCATTCATAAAATAAAACAACTACCAAACAAATGAATTGATTAATGATGATCACCAGCTGCAGATCATGGGCGCACGTTTTCAGTTTGGCCTTTTTTCCCAGACTCTGTTCCATTTTTTTTTTTTGGGTTTTCAACGTAACCAATTCAACACGATCACTCGAATGTCAGCTGTTTACTGACCCAGAAAGTAAAAACAAAATAAAGCCTTAAATACCAGTTCGTAACGTTAAATGTGTCATCAAACCGAATTAAGTACTTAACTATAGTATATAAATGGAAACTGCCGAAATTACCCATAGAACATTCCAAAAGTAAATGAGTGAGAACCGTGTAGAAAGGCGTTGCTGAAGTTATGAGATCTTCGATTAGATATGAAAAGGCAGGTGCAAAAAAATATAGCAATATTAATGTCTGAAAATCCTGACAAAATAAAGGAACTATTCAATTTTATAGAGGTAAACCAATATTTTAAGGAGTGTGATATAAAAGCACATTGATGCCCTAGAAAAATGTTGAATTGAAGAGACATACGAGCACGCGCACAACACAAGCCTCAGATTCAGGGTCAACTGTGTATGGTGGTTGTAAGTGTTGTATAATACATATATGTATATTACACATGTATATGTAAATATATGAGTATATGCATTTAAATATAATGAAATATATATTGTAGTTGAAGTACAGGTGCAGCATGGCAAATTAGTTATGAACGGTTATCAAATTTTTGATTTTTTNACATATACAGATACAGATACAGTTACATACATAGATACAGGTACAGATACAGATACAGATACAGGTACAGGTACAGGTACAGGTACAGATACAGATACAGATACAGATACAGATACAGATACAGATACAGATACAGATACAGATACAGATACAGATACAGATACAGATACAGATACAGATACAGATACAGATACAGATACACATACAGATTTTCACAGTTACAAATATGTCACACTCTATTCGGTATATTTTGGTAATGTTTGATTTAATACAGATACAGATACAGATACAGATACAGATACAGATACAGATACTGATACTGATACTGATACTGATACTGATACTGATACTGATACTGATACTGATACTGATACAGATACAGATACAGATACAGATACAGATACAGATACAGATACAGACACAGATACAGATACAGATACAGATACAGATACAGATACAGATACAGATACCTCTCCCCTCCCTTCCTCACTCTCACTCTGTCACTCTCTCTCTCTCCCTCTCCCTCTCCCGCTCCCTGTCTCTCATCCTCACACTCAGTATCTCATTTTTTCAGGGCTACATTTGACAGGACGGCACCCATTCATAAAATAAAACAACTACCAAACAAATGAATTGATTAATGATGATCACCAGCTGCAGATCATGGGCGCACGTTTTCAGTTTGGCCTTTTTTCCCAGACTCTGTTCCATTTTTTTTTTTTGGGTTTTCAACGTAACCAATTCAACACGATCACTCGAATGTCAGCTGTTTACTGACCCAGAAAGTAAAAACAAAATAAAGCCTTAAATACCAGTTCGTAACGTTAAATGTGTCATCAAACCGAATTAAGTACTTAACTATAGTATATAAATGGAAACTGCCGAAATTACCCATAGAACATTCCAAAAGTAAATGAGTGAGAACCGTGTAGAAAGGCGTTGCTGAAGTTATGAGATCTTCGATTAGATATGAAAAGGCAGGTGCAAAAAAATATAGCAATATTAATGTCTGAAAATCCTGACAAAATAAAGGAACTATTCAATTTTATAGAGGTAAACCAATATTTTAAGGAGTGTGATATAAAAGCACATTGATGCCCTAGAAAAATGTTGAATTGAAGAGACATACGAGCACGCGCACAACACAAGCCTCAGATTCAGGGTCAACTGTGTATGGTGGTTGTAAGTGTTGTATAATACATATATGTATATTACACATGTATATGTAAATATATGAGTATATGCATTTAAATATAATGAAATATATATTGTAGTTGAAGTACAGGTGCAGCATGGCAAATTAGTTATGAACGGTTATCAAATTTTTGATTTTTTTTTTTTTTTTTTTTTTTTTTGGCTTACGCGTAACTTGCCGAAAGCGAAAGTCGCCAGGCCACGCCCACACAATAAAAACTAACAGCTAAATATACCTAAATAAACTATAAGCCTCCCCATACATACATAGATATACATATGTATATATATAGTTGGTCTGCAGCGACAATATTGACGAACGCGTGTTGGTTTGTGTCTGTGCGGGTACGGTACGGTTTTTATTTGCTTTACAATGCTACTATTTATGGTTTGGGGTACTGGCGCTACTGCAAGTGCTGGGGATTGGGGGAGGACAGCTACTTCTGTTGGTTCCTTGAACGATCTTCACATGAACGAAACGGTCCTTAACGAACTGCCCAATAGTACAATCAATCAACACAAAATGTAGAAATATAGAATTTTCAAAGCGGGTTCCCTTCAGGCTTCCGCTACCTCTAGCTTGCCGTTCCCGATCTCTATTTGTAGCTTCTTAAGCTTCATAGCCGTCGGGTAATGCATTGACATGAGGATTATGGAACAGGCTGCGCTCCCCATCGCCCCAGGGAAAACGTTTATTGCGACGCCGCAGATGCTCGTACTTGACAAACGGCGGCAGCGGCTTCGGTGCACGTGCACCGCTGTAGGCATTGATCATGCAGAGCCCAATGGCTGGCGTGGCCACCAGAAAGGTGACACGCTTCCAGAGCAATGCACCGCGAGGTTGGCTGCCGAGTTGCAGCAGATTGCTTTTGGCCTGGCTAAATGCAGGCTTCACATACCGTTCCCAAAATTGCGACATTTTCGTGAGTTCTTTAGAATTTTTAAAAATTTGTATAAGTATAGTTTCTGTTTTAGAATATACACATACAATGTATATATATAAATATATATGTAGATGTTATATATACATATGTATTTACTACAAAGCTCTAAATGTTTAGTATGCTCGATTTGAAAGTAAATAAAATTCTAGACCGTAGCAATGTCATAAAGCAACTTCGATTGAATTTTTAGACAAAGCACCCACACATACACACACACGCACATACACTGCAATAGCATGAGAATAGATTAAAGAATAGCCTATTCTGAGATTTCGAAATGCATAAGTAGAGTTTCAATGCAAAGGTGATAAATTGCTTGACGCATATGCTTATATTACCACAGCTCGCCAGCTTATCTGGCCTAATTAGTTAGACCATAATGTATTAATTAGTCGATGTTCTGAAAAACCAGCCAACGTTCGCAAATATTAATTATATTTAATATTCAACCACGTGGCTAACAGTTAATTGCAGCTGCTGTTTGTTCAAATAACTTGAATGAATTAATTGTGCAAATATCAACGCAATTAAAGAATTTTCGATTCAATGATGCGTCTAATTAAACCAAATGAAATTTAGTTAAATTTACGATCAATCGATTATGGGATTAATATTAAATTAGCATTAAGCATCAACATTCATAAATGAAATTCATAATTTGCTAAATGTACTAAAGTCCAAAATTTCTCAGAAAAGAACAAACGATTTGTTTGGACCCTTCTAGAAGACAGCTCAACATTGATTCACATTGTTGATCCTAGCTAGAAAAGTTCGCCAAGGCAACACAATACAACAAAATATGAATAATTCGAACTCTGGCTGATGTTAAATACTGCTTATACGAAAGATATGGGGAAGTTGATAGATAATCATCCATCATAGCCATGTGGCTAACTGTCTTATTTGCACAACGTTTTCACACCTGCCCACTAATAAATGTACAAGATTATTTCTCACTAATTCTATAAATTATCATCAGCATCGTTATTTTTTCTTTAGCTCACACACGCCCAAACCCAAACTTAAAATTAAAGAGATAACTGTAGTGTGGGGTTACCGACTAGAAGATCCCCTGAGCACTCTAGGTTTCACGGGCAGACGGTTAGGGCTATATATATGTAGACTCTTCCGTCGTCTCCTTCTGCCTTTTAAATAGATTTTAAGAAAACCAATATACCCCAATATCCCATTCTCAATCGGTTCAGGGTATACAAATAACTAAACGCTTCCCCCAATCCACGAAACCGTTTGGGCAACGGAACTGCGTACGTGCCTTGCTAACAAAAAAAAAAAAAAAACAAAAGTTGTTAACAATAATGAGATTTCTGTTCAAGTTAAAGAGCGCCAACAATCGGAATTTGTAACTTAAGTAAAATTTTAATTTTATATATTTTACATAATTTAAATAAATTTATTTTGCTCTAATAGTTTCGATAATCTGCTCTGCAATATTTAAACATATACATATGTAAGCAAAGAGAGATAGGGAGAGAGAGAGAGAACTCCTCCGAAGAATATAAACCTATTGCAATTAATATTCATTAGTATTGTAATTAATATTCATTAGTATATAATTTAAAGTTTATATATACTAATTTCTTTGAAAATTGAAAAATGAAAATGGAATAAAAACGATTATTAACGATTATTAGTAAAATAAATTTAAGAAACCTAACAAGCCAAATAAGCGCTTTTAAATTTATTAAAATATTAAACAAAAAATAAATAAAAAAAAACAATATTTATTAAATTATTTAATGCATGCGTAATTAATTTTGCACGCTTGCCAATTGCATTTTTAATAAGTATGTTGTACACATTTTTATTTTACGAAATATTAATTTATTGTTTTTATTCATTCTTACTTTATATATAGATTAGGTTTTCTTTAAGCTCTTTCATTATTTTTACTCACCACTTTTTCCACAATCATTTTATTTGATTTGATTTAAAACCTTGTGAAAGTTCTTGTAAATATTTCACTTTGCACTCTCACAGAATGTTCATAGAATTTATATATATATAAACATACATATATATTATATATAGTATTTAAATGTCTTTTAAATGTCCTTTACTCTTTATTCACCTCTGTCAATTCACAATTCACGTTCAATTGCTCAATTCACGACACGGCGACAGTTGAATTTCAAATGGTGGATCTCAAGCCGGGCAACGTCTATTTATAAGCAATGTGTCCGATTTTTACGCTCAACAATGCCGACAAACACACTTCGGAGTATAAAAATTAAAAAAAAAAAAAAAAAGTAACAAAAAACGAAAAGCCACACGACGCGAGATGCCTCATTTTCGGAGATGAAGAAACAGCAAATAAGGCGAGACAATATCCAAATACTACTCAAAAGAATTAAATGAAGTGCTAAGTAATCAGAACTTTGAGTAGTCCAAAGCTGACATATACTATGCAATATCTAGTATATTCTATATATGATATGATCTGCTGTAATTATAATAATAATTTATATCAAATAAATCAGTTTGCATTCGGGAACAAATACTTCAAATATGGTTCCAAATACTAGCAATACTGGAACTACCTTTAAGGTACTCACATATATACCTAAATATATAGTATAAATACAAGTCTATTGCATTCGCTTACAGCATTATAAATTCCATTACGACAATGTTTAAACATAGAACTTACTTGATTCACAGCAATTGCAATTAATTGCATAGAACGCAAATCCATTCGGTCTCAAGTGACCAAATATTATACAAAAATGTTTCCGTAAAATTTGAATATGTTGACTCAATAATAATAGCTGTTTATTTGAACATTCAAATTGTGAATTTGTAAGCCAAAATGTGGCCTACCTTGGGGCTGGCAAGTAACAACAAAATATATAGACGACTTTGCGGCGGGGATTTTTAAAGAAAATATTTGAAAAGTAATCTGTGTAATAATAATAAAAATATTATATGAAAATGTTTTTGTTATAGTTTTATTACAAAATTTTAAAATATTGTATGTAGTTTTTATATAACATTTTCATATAATAATTGAGAGAAAAATTAGAGAACAATCGAAGGCCTCGTTCCTTTAACGATTTTTTCGCTTGGGCTGGTTGAGTTTTGTTAAAAGAGTATCACTCGTACAGATCAATGCGCTTAACCGACATCGACAACGAAATTAACCGAAAGTTGTTGCTGAGAGCGAGAGCGGTTGAATATAATATTATCAGTTGATTTCGATATCAGAGCATAAAGAGTTAAAAGTCCTTTGCAAGCTTTTATAGAACAAATAAAAAAATTAAATAATCTTGAACATTATTTGAATACGATTTATTAAAGAAACCAATTATATATGTATTATATTTGATATCATATATTCTTTATGATTTCTTGTGATATTTACTAATTAAGATTTACACCGAAACCTTATATATCTAGTGAAAATCATTTCAAATTGAATTCAGTTTATATACTTAAGAATATCTATACAACTTTAATGGTAATTACGTATACATGAAGTCTGAACATAACCCACTTCAACCCAAATCTAAAATACACGATTATACAAAAATGCATTCCTCATTTATATATATATCCGGCATGATAATTCCAGTTTCCGGTTTATTGTTCAATGTTTGACTGTCGAAATGCCGTAACGCACCAGATCGATCAGGCCCAGTTTCATGGAGGTCCAATAGAATAGTCCGCACAGTATAACCGTCTTGCAAACGCGATCCAATACATACAAGCTGTGAAAAAACAAAAGGAATTATCAATCAGAACATATACCAAAAATATATTATATGCATATATCACTTACAATCGCAGCTGTATGCGGGACCTTGGCAATGAGGTCATAGGCTCCTTCATGACATATTGACGGCCGCCCAAAATGCTAGTCTTCAGATATTCATAATCATCCACATCGTCTGTGTTGATTTTGAAACTATTTAAAGAGAATTAAAATATGTAATGAAAAATAAAATAAAGTGGTAATAGATGGAATATCTGGCTGTTATCTCCCCGTGGGTCGTACATTTTACGATCTGCCTCAGAGATATCTTTGTAGATTTGCTGAAAATGTGTTGACTTGAAGTCCCAGCTGCGTGTCGTGAAGAACTGCAGCACTTCCAGACCCACCGATATCTTTGTCTGAACGCGAACCATGCTGTAACCCAATAAATTATATCAGTTAGCTAACTGGTTACAGGGTATCTCTCTAGTCAACTCACAAGCGACGTTGTCCGAAAAGCGCCAGAAGGAAGTCAATGATATAGGCGGGCAGCCACATGAACATGATGGTGCAGAAGGTATGATAGAACTTGTTGGTCGTCATATTGCCATCGGGATACCAGAGGCCCACCTCGAATGGGTATTTGAGACCCAGCTCACGGCCCACGTCCATAACCCATTTCCATGTGCGCTTCTTGTCCTCTTCCACAGTTAAGTTGTAGACAGGTATCTGAAGGGATCTGCAAGATATAGAAATAACTATAATATTTCAGTTCTACATCATTCATTCATTCATTCACTTACTTTTGMTTGGCTTGACTATTATGATAGGGTATCAAGAGCAATCCATTGATAGCTATGTCCACCGGTATTACCTCCGATTTGAGTTCTCCATTGCAGATCATGGAGCGAATAACACCTTTGCCAGCGCCAATCAAAACGCCCGTGGGTCCATTCATATTGTCTACCCAGCCCGGCAACGGCTCCGCGACAGCGGGCGTAACTGCGCAGGCGGAATAAATATTATTCAACATTCAATTATACAAATACAAACATTATATATAGTACATTTGCAATTATAGAAAAACAACTCGCTCGGACTAGAGTACAAAAACCTAAATATGTATATTTATTTGGAAAACCTTGGAAACTTAAAACGAACTACAAACTACTGGCTAATTGACTAAACATAATTCCTGGGACCACAAAAATTGAAGAATTCCTAGAAATAAAACAGGAACTCAGATCATTGCCAGCACACCCGTCCACTTCAGCAAATAGTAGAAAAAGGCACCGACTATGAGTGTCTTGCAGATGACATCCACAAACCATTGACTAGGAGAGAATATGTAAATATTTTAATGAATACATCAAACCAAGCAAATGCCAACAGCTTACATGCGCATATGCAGACGAGCTTTGGGTACATCCTCATCCTTTTCCTTGAGTATAAATCTGCGTGCGCCACGCGCGCAAACATACAAGTATTCCTCCTCTGTATGGGTGACATTCATGTCCATGTTGAAGCTGGAAATAAGAGTGATAAAAATTAACTAAAGATTTCAAATCATTATCTCATATAATTACATCTTTTTGTCCTCCTCGGCCAAGTTTTTCCAGAGACCGGCATAGTTATCAGATGTGAAGACCCAGGGATTTAGCGTAAAGAACTGGAGAACGCCCAGGCCAGTGGATATCTTCTGCTGTACGCGTATCATGCTGTAAATATAGAAGATAAATTGTTAGACAATATTTATCTATATTTCCCAATGTCTCTATCTGAGATCGATACTTACAATCGCTTTTGTCCAAGTATTAGCATTAGGAAATCGATCAGGTAAGCTGGCAGCCAGTGGAACATGGCCACATTGAATTTGTGATAGACCTCGTTGGTGGTGACACAGGGATCTGGATACCAGAGTCCCGCATTGAATGGAATCTCCTTGTTGATGCGTTTGCTTATCTCAACAATTTCGCCCATGGCCTTTTTTCTGAAATCGGCGTTTGTTATGTTATAGACGGGCACATCGGCGGGTCGCTTGGCCTGCTTATTGAATTCGTAGGGTATAACAATGAGACCATTAATTGCATAGTCCACGGGTATAACTTCAGCCTTGTTATCCTTATTCACCAGCACCGAGCGAATGACGCCCTTGCCGCAGCCAATCATCAGGCCAGTGGGTCCATTAAGGTTATCCACCCAACCTTGCAAAGGCTCATAAGCAGCCGGTGACACTATTTGCAAAAGAGAGATCTATAGATTAGACTATGTCAACGGAATAACTTCTCCACTCTACATACCAAGAAGCCCAGTTTGCATGATGGCAGCTGGATGATAACCGAAAGCCAATAAGATGTGTGTGAAGTGTGGTGTATGTGTGTGTGGGTGTGGGTGTTTGTGAGTAGAGTATGAGTGTGAGTGCGTGTGATTTGTGAGTGTCTTAAATGTATTCATTGAATTTGAGAATAGGCCAAACTCTGAAGATGTTGCAATTTTGGTGTTTGGGTTGATTTTTTCAGTGTATTTGTGGTGTTGTGTTTTAGTCTTTTTTTTTTTTTGGCTCTTTCGTAATCCTCTTTTGACACTTTCAACACTCGAACACGTACACATACAAGTTAACGAACCGTTATTATTTTATTGCATTTCGAAACACTTAACATTAAAAAGCAAAACATTTAATAAACAAACGTTTTTTGTACCCCATAAAGCGAACCTAAGCATTATATTGGTAAAGCGAGCAATAATATTTTGGCTATATGCTTCTATAAATCTCTCTGTGAGTCCCGTTCTAGGCGCCCACAAGGCGTGAGATAAGGCCATACGTCCAGTAACCGAGGAAACCAACGATGATCGTCTTGCACGCGCGATCCAATAGATACATCCTATAATGCGATTATGGGAGGGGGAAGAACATAAATGAGTGTTCAGACATATGGATATATAAATAGGGTTATCTTGTTTACAGCATGAGCTGGCGACGTGCACGTGGCAGAGATTCGGGCGACTCCTTCATCAAATACTGACGACCGCCTTGCACACAGGACTCAATGTACATGGGTATTGTTTCCTCTGGATCCATGTCCATGTTGAAGCTAATTGATGTGCGATAGTCAGAGATCTATACAAAAACATCTCCTCTATTTGTAAACCGCTTCTTACTTTTTCCGATCGGCATCAGTCAGCATATTCCAGAGCGATGCATAGGCATCCGACTTGAAGTACCAGGCGCGCATCGTAAAGAATTGCAGCACCTCCAATCCCACTGAGATGCGATTCTGTACACGTATCATACTAAGCGAATTTTAGGGGTTTGCGTGGGAGTTGGGGGTGGAATTGGAAGTGGAATTTGTAGTCGATCAGGATTCCACAAAAATGTAAATGGAATTAACCAAAAACTTACAAGCGCTTCTGGCCCAAAATGAAGAGCATGAAATCGATCAAATAGGCGGGCAGCCAATGGAAGAGCACCACATTGATATTATGATGGAATCTGTTGGTGGTTATGCAGCCATCCGGATACCAGAGACCCGCCTCCATTGGATACTGATAACCAATCTTTTTGCTCAGCTCGATTACTTCCCCCATTGCATTTTGCGATGATCGGCGCACGTTATATTATAGACGGGCACATCCACCGGCCGTTTCTGCGTGGTAAACTGATACGGTATGACGCATAGACCATTGATGGCATAGTCCACCGGTATGACCTCCGATTTGTGACGCGTATCGATGAGCATGGATCGAATGACGCCCTTGCCAGCGCCCACCATGAGACCAGTGGGGCCATTCAGATTATCCACCCAGCCAGGGACGGGCTCATAGGCCGATGGTGAAACTGCAGGAGATTCGTTCAGTCCTGATCTCTAAGATCGGCAGCAGGAGAAGGAGCAGTAGCAGCAGCAGCAGCGGCAGCAGCAAGGAAAATATGTGCGTAACCAAAGGCGAAGGCGTAGGCTTTAGAGTAGGCGTGGTCATTTGTGCGAGTGTATAATTCCGCTAGGCAAAAGGCAGAGGATAGTTTTTGTTTGCGTGTTTTTAATTGCAGTTGCAGGCAGGGGGCGGGGAAGAGTAGTATTTGATTTATAAGCTTCAGTTTCAATTTGAATTTACCGTTTTAAATTTCATGCTCATTGAACTTGTTGGTCAATGACGACGACGTTTGCTTACAGTTTGTCTGTGGCTTATGTGCGCGTGTGTGTGTGTATAGGTCTGTGCAGTATTATTGAAAATTGTTTATAGGAGATATTTGTACAAGCGCTGCTGTTTATGCTTATTTATTTTTGGTTGTTTACAAGGGCGGGCTGACCACACAAACACACAGAACAACACATTAAATATTCAAAAACATTTGCTTATATTGTAGAGAGCTGCCAGATGTGGTAAAGTGAAAGGCCACCAGAAGTTGTCCGCCGAAGAGCTGCCAGATGAGCATTACTGGGCAGTCGTTAACAGGAATCATCGATTAAAAGTACATTGTATTGATAGCATCGATACTTTGTCGAGCAGCTAATCAAAATGTAAGCAAAAATTTAAAACTTGCGCTGCCCATGTGTGTGAATCTCCCGCCAACGACTTGAGCAGTTAACACACTTTTATACACACTTTTTGTTTCGTTTCACGCGTTTGGTTGTTGTATTTGTGGTTCAATTGTTTGTTTGTTTATTTGCTTATTTGTTGTATTTGGTCTGATTCGTGTGCTTTAGCGGTCGGACGAGCGGTGTCAACAAAGCGCGCAAAGGGATTATGTCGCTGACATACATAAACACAAGCTACATTGTATATGTCACAGGTAAACAATTTGCAGATGAGCACATAAAAAATAGACACATGTTAGCGCAAAGCACCAAAAAAACAAACAAAAAACCCACACATACCTAATTTGCAGACAGCATAAGAGAAAAAGCGCATAACATAACTCCGAGCGTGTGCCACACCCACAAAAGCCTTAAGTGTGGCTGTCAATTAGGCAACGCGACTTGACGACGACTTGCCAATCCCAATTTAAAGAGCTGCGCTAACAGATTTGAACTTTGCGAACTTTATGCTGCCAAAGTCATTAATCCATCAATATTTAAATAGCTTGCATGGGCCTTAAAGCGTGTCTTAAATACACTGTGCAACACAATTGGGGTAAGCACATCGTGTGCTAACCAATTGAGAGTTCCAGACCGCAAGAGATCAATTTCTATTGTGCGTTGCCTAAGTAGGGAGTGCTACGGTAAGTACTAGAACTACGTATATCTTAGGCATTCAGTAAAATATTATAGACTGGATAACTAGTATTTATCTTTTAGCTTTATCGCTGGTGACAGCTATAATAATTACAATATATTGCAAAGAATCTTCATTAATAAAGGAGGCAAAGCCGCTTCACAGTCTCTGGATTTTACTTGAAACAGTAAGGTATAATATTTCATAGAAGCAATTAGAGAGATTTCTTAATAATTTATAGTACTTTAAATTCAAACTAATCCAACTAAGCCATCTAATTCTGACATAAAGCAGTTTTCATACCAAAATTAGCTTTGCTTAACTCCTTTTGCCTAATTTTTGCCTAGTCATGCTCAGACAGCAGCTGCCAAAAATATATAGCCGTTAATATATTTTTGGAAAAAACACTTGACTTTATTTTTCTTTTGGCCAAAAGGTAAGATTTTGCACGGGGTCAGCCTGAGAGTTCAGCTCGACTGCTTGAATCAACATTTTAGCCTAATTGAAAAATTGCAGCTGCAGAGGCAAAAGCCGGTTTTAGCCGCTCATGCAGCGGAAAACTCGCAGGTCTCAATTTCAATTTCAATTGCAACGGCCCAAAGTCATAAAAAAAACGCTATATGATTAAAGAGCTAACTGGGAGACTGTGAACTGTGAAAAATATACAAAATCTACTGCAACTGGCAGTTTGTGAAAAAAGGAAAAGGAAAAGCTAAGACAAAATTAATTGCATAGTTTTTGTTGTTTATGTTTTTTTTTAGGCACAAATTTAATAGCTAGCAGCCGACAAAACAAAAACAAAAAAAAAACACATAAATTCGTAAAGTTAGGAAATACAAAAATAGATAAAATATATTTATGGTAAAAACTAGACTTAAGGAGATGATTAAGAAAGCAAGCAACCAAGCAACAGAGACAAGCCTCAAGGCGACGCCCCACAATTAATGTTATGCAGCTATATATGAATCTAGATATATGCAGACAGAGCTTATAGCGGCTGGACTTACCGATGCTGGGACGTGCTATGATGACCGGCATGGTTTCGTAATGATCGCGCACCAGCAGCTCAGCCAGACGCTTCGAATAGGTGTAGGTATTCGGATGCGGCTTCAATAGATCGGGCGTAATGGCATCCAGGGTCTTAACATCCATCCACTCGGCCAGGCGCATCAGATCCTCCGGCTTGTGAGGAAATTCGTAGACCTTCTCGTACATCACCTCCTGGTCGCAGTTGCAGAATGCCGTCGACAGGTGCACAAATGCCTCCAGTTGCTTCATTTCCTTGGCCACATTCAGCGCACGCTGTGTGCCCATCAGATTCATGTCGATGGCATCCCGCAGATTGCCCTCCAGCTTCAGGGTGGCCGCCATGTGGAAGACAATATTCGTGTTCTCCACCACATGCTTGAGGCTATCGCCGCTCAGGCCCAACACTGTCAAAGATTGAGAGAGCAAAGATTAGAGAAGAGTTTGGGGAGAAGTTTTCAATTCGTTGCTCTCTTACAATCGTAGGTCACATCACCCTGGTAGATGGTCACCTTCTTGAGCATGTGCGGACGCTCGTCGCGAATGCGCTGAAAGATGGGCAGCTTGAACATCTCCTCGAGCCGGGTCTCGGGCGTCTTGCCGCGCTTCGGGCGGCAAATGATGATCACCTCCTTGAGCGAGTGGCATGAGTAGAGCAGCTTCTCCAGCAGCACCTTGCCCATGAAGCCAGATGCGCCCGTGATGAAGATGGTCTTATCCTTGTAGTATTCCTGCACTGGCGATAGATCGTTCATCTTGATGCTGCAAATATACAGAGAAAGAGAGAGGGAATGAATGAGTGAGAGGGGCGCATTATTATCGATTTCATAGCCAAATGCCGGACAAGCAGCCAAGCCGAGCAACAAGTGTCGCAAGCAGCAGCAACAACAAAAAACTGGGCTAATTCTGAAATGCTGTAAACGGGTTTTGGTTTCTAATGATTCGCATTTCGCATTTCTTTGCATTTGCAATTACGCAATGTGGATTGTCTGGACGGCTGGCTGATTGGTTTAATAGTAATACAATGCTGGCAATAATAATACCAACAACAACAACAACAATAGCAGCTGCAATAACAGCTCCATTTGGCAGAGGCCGTCGCAATAATACGCGACGTAGCCAGGAGACCGGAGAGACCAGACCAAGCCGAAGCTAGGCCTCAGCCAGACCCAGCCCGGGCTAGCCAGACCAGACCAGGCCARGCCAGGCCAGTCTAACGTGTCTGTTGTTTGTTTTTATGAAAGAGTATGTTGCAAGCTGCACTAGCAACAACCACACGCAGCATGCAGCATGCCACCAGCCACGCTCGCTTGCCACGTTTTGATAGCCTTCTGCAATCGCCTACAAAAATTGCAAAATCAGAGATTGGAGCTCTTTTGGGTTTGGATTCGGGTTTTGAGTTTTCGGCTTTTCTGCTTTTTCAGTTGGAGTTTTTACATTGCGGTCCGCGTTACACTTGGCCAAATCGTGTACGCAAAGCCCAAAATATATCGTGCCACTTTTCATTTCATTTTATTTAGCTTCATTTTTTTGTTTTTAAGTAAAAGCGGCTTTGCTCTTTGGACGCAGTCGCAGCTTGACATTTCTAAACGGCCTCAATTCGCGAAGCTGCTTGGTTTCGCTTACAGCTACCCAGCTGGAATGTGCGCAACGGGCATGCCAGACTAGAGCATCAATGTTGGCACTCCCCTGCGTAGATTTAAGTAATCTCTGCTGCTTGATTCTCTTTTGCTATTGCTGGAATGAGATAAGAATCCTTTGCTGTTTATTGCTGACTCCCCCTCTATATCTCAGCATGGATCTGTTTATTATTCTTGCTCAGTTTCTCCATCTCTCCCTCTCTCTCTCAGTTTTTGTAGGTAGTTTCTTGCTTCTCCCATTTTCTCTAACTTTTTTCACTTGCCTACACGAAATCTCTTTTGATTTCTCTCTAGATATCTCTCACAGTATCTCTGTCCATCATCCTGTCTGTCTCGGTCTCTCTCATTCTCTCTCTGTCTCTCTCTCTCTCTTTCTCTCACCCGCTCTTTATCTCTCTCTTTGTCTCTTCGCGTTTTTCTTCTCTTTTTCTGTTTCATTCTCATTCTTTCTCTCTTTCTCGGTCAAGCTCCCACTCTTGATATCGGCTTCTACGTCTCCTCGCTCTGCTCTTCCTCTCCTTCGCTCATTCTCATCTACAGAGCATCTGGTGGTCGTGCATTGCCGCCGCTAATAAGTCTGATAAATCGTGCATTTCATGCCACACTGAACGGGTTTTTGGGCTGTCTCGCGTTTTGTCACTAGACCCATTTACCATAAATGAGCCAAGCATATATGCACATATATACATTTATATATTTGATATTTCTCAAGATACCAACAGCAACAACAACAACAACAAAATATGCCCAGTTAAGCGTTTAAGGAAAGTCTTCGAGAAAGCACTCAGCATGAAAAGGCAATGCAACTAATTGTACTTTATAGCCATACATATACATATATAGATATTGCTTACATTTGCTGTACCTTGAACTAGAAATCGTACTGCGACTCTAGACTACGTAAACAACTTGTGAATACGGCTAACTGAACTGCAGTCGCGATCGCGGCAGCTGCAGCAGCTGCCAATGAGTTTCCATTTCACATCTGTCTACTAATTCATCTGGCAATAGCTTCATTTCCATATTTATTGCCAATTAAGCCGCTTTTGCTGACTTTGTCGCCCTTGTCTATAGACCCGGAAAATCCAAGTTACAGAAGTAAGCCAAAAACCAAAAAAAAAAGCCTGCATGCAGCTTACACAAGATCTCACAATATCTCCAATTCATAGCGAGGCGGCAACAAATCTGCGCAAAGTCTACAAAAACCAAAAATCATAGCCATAACCCACACACACACACACACACAGAGTCACACAGTCGCACTTGGAAAATGTCAAAATAAGTTGAAACTGAAACCGAAACCAAAAAGGCAAAAAAAAACGCTAAACATTTTTGCTCATCTATAGAGGGCAGACGAAAGACTTAGGCAACGAACTTGCGCACTGTGGCATGCAATATAAAAGCTTCAAACTTGACAAGCATAAGCATATGCGCTTACATCTACACCGACGTTATTAGCATCGTTTAAGCCATAATTTACAAGAGCTAGTTACCAGACAAGGCCTACCGTAAAATCTACATACATATATCCATTTTGCAATAGTTTCTTTGACTTTAACAAAAATGAAGACGAAGACAACGAAAAGCAAATTCAATAATTTGTTCTTGACATAATTGACAGACATCATCTTGGGCACGTTTGCGTTGCATGTAATATTAGATTTATAGATAAGCCGATCAGGTTAAAGCAGGTTGTAGCCTGGAATCTTATCTTCAAATATTGGGTTTAAGTGAGAAAACTAGATTATATAGATAAAGTCAGAGTCTTAGTGAAATCAAAGCTAACTAATATAGTTAAAGAAATAGAGTAAGAGAATTCGTTTAGAAAATGAAGCTTCACTTAACTTCATAGCCTCATTTATGACTGACGCTATGCCCAGTAATTCGAGCCCCGATCTTTGCTTATAGCATCAAGAAATTGGTTTGTATTGCCCCAGCGAAGCGGATCAAATGAACATGATTTATGATCTCTTGACATGCCGTGCCGTCATGCATGACTTATCTCACATATGCTCGACTTACAGGGTATCGCGGCTGTCTTGCAACTGTATTTAGTGGAAATTGCTGAGCTCACTTGTCGTGGCTTCTAATCAAATATGCGTAGTCAAACCATTTGATGGGCTGTGGCCCGTGTTAGAGCCACCACGAGATGAATGACACAGTTTAGCATATTATGGACAACTGGCTTTATTTTAAAAAAATGACAACACTTAATATGAGTTTTTTTTTATTTTCTTTAAAAACCGGTTTGATTAGTTACTACTACTATATAGTATTTCTTAAGCAGACCAAAGCAAATGCGTTGTTTACATTTTGCAATGATAATAGAGTCGATAGCTAGTACGGGTACTAGCACTACTCTCTGCTCATTAATTGAGTTCAGAGAGTCTCTGCGATCAAGTTTGTATTATTATTAGGGATTTCTTCGAAAATAAAAACGCGGAAAAACGTCGAATCAGACACGAGGCAAAATGCAGTTGACCTAGAGTTCAAATATATTTGAACCCATTCGATTGATCTAAGTTATACTTGATATAATGAAATACTGGTAAGAACTAAAAGTATATAAACAAAAGAGTGAGTACCCTAGCATAAGTTATACATACATGGGGTGTTTGATGCGAAATATTGGAAGAAAATTATTGATAGAATAATATAGTATGATCATACTAAAACTTTACTGTACTTGAAGTAATAGGTATAAAAAATAGGCTGATTAAAAAGATAAAAATTAGTATAATAATGGGAGATAGATCTAATCAGAGATATAATATATGAGTTAGAAAAAATTTTTAGAGCCGATTTACATTTCGAAAATAAAGTCTATAGAAGTTCAAGTTCACAAGTTCTGACCATATCAAAATTTTTTTGTGATTTGGAACGAAATGAGAAAAAATCGGTGCAACTACATAAGAGTGTGTTAAGCGAATAAAAGATGACTTAAAGTAACTGAGCAAATAGCATTGAAAATTATAGAGTTAAAGATCAGAATATATCACATATTAAAATTCAAGTATTTGCTCTAGCTCTAAAAGTTTACAAAGATCAATTCTATTCATAGGTTTTCTATAAGAAATTTCAACTAAAATTCCTTCAATTGTCATGCAAACTAATATACCCAGCTCATGCTCAATACAGGGTAGCAGCAAAGATTAACCATGAAATTGATAGAAATGGCTAAAAACCAAATTTTGAACTGTTGCCACTTGACGCTGGTCTGGTTGGCGTCCCTTTAGGCCATTTTGCTAGCTAACTATGTGAGATGTTTAAGACATAGCCAAAAAAGACAAAAAAAGAAAAAAATATACAACAACAAATGAGTTAATAAATAAATAATAAGCAGCAACCTCCAGTATGTAAATAGGTTTGTAGCGATTGCCATTGACACACAAGCCCAAAGAAACGAATATTAATTCGAGATACGCTCAAAATGATCAAAATGTATCAATACAAATAAGAGAGAAATAAAAGAAGGAAATAAACATATAGAAACACGACAGATAGAATAAACGAATTAAATATACGCTAAAATGAAAATATGTATTGTATATGACAACATAAATGTATAATAATATAAATACA